TTTGGCAGCCGTCCATTTTGCCTCTATCCTCTCTCATTGTCATGCACAGGACTCTGTGGTCGCTCCCCAGATCCTCGAAGGTGTTCGACCTGGTGATCGCGCCCGCATCTGACCAAATGGACAGATCAGAGGACGTGTCGCGGCACGCGCCCTGTCCAATCCGGGTGTGCGATGCCGGTTCATTGAGTAGAACCAAGCCAAGCTCGTCCATCAGTTCGGCTAGCCTCTTCCATTTGGGCGAGTCGGCTCCATATCCCCATTGCGTGTGCGGTGCATTGAAAACTCTGCAGATTAAGAGGGGACTGGAGGCGGCCTTCACCATCGCTTCACGAAAAAGGGCACCAAAGTTGTGCGTGAGGCCCCTTTTTGAAGTGGGGCTGTACACGTTAAGCACGAATAGGCCGGTCTTCCAGTTTCCAATGCAGGGCACAACCTCAATCAGGTTGTGGTCTATGTCCGACTCCTCGCTGATATCAAGTGAATGGTCGATAAAGGTCGTCCCTCTCTTAACTAGGGCACACCTTTATGTCCTTCCGCATGCATTCACATGGAGAGCCACATGCTACATAGCCTGGTAGCTGAGCCCGGTCGAAAGGTTCTTGCAAAGCAATCACGTCGGGAAGTTTGCTTTTCAAGAGAGTTTTCATATATTGCACCATTGTAGCTTTTTTGTTTTTGAAGCCCCTACAGTTCCATTGCCAGACAGTGCGTCTGCTGACAAACTTGCGGGACGCAGCCATGGTTGCGTCCAAAGACGTTGGGGGAGCGCGACTGTCCGTGCGTCCCTCCTTTTTCAGGGTGGGTGGTGTTGACATTGCTGCTTCTGTTCAGAATGGTCGATGCGTCCCCTCCCAACTCGTCGTGGCCTTGTCCCTGTTGCTGCAACTGCGCCGTCCTGCATACCAGATATTCGATGCGCTTATTCACGTGTGCAAGTTGGTTATTGACCGCGGCATACTGTGCGTTCCTTTCGGCGTCAGACTCGTTCAGCCGAATGAGGAGCGTCTCAAATAGTCGCTCTGTCATGTTGATTAGTTTGTCTACCATTTCTTCGATCACGTCTATTTTTCGGCCTGCCGGTCGTGCCCGCTTCGGTTCTTGCGCGTGATTTTCAGTGCTTTCAAACTGTTGAGAATCGCTTCGGCTCTTACGCTTAAAGCCCACCACCACCGGCGCTTCATATTCACCTCCACAGCCCATGTCCGTGTCCCCGTCTCCTACTGCTGAAGTTGTGTCGCGTTCATCGGCAGCTTCATGGGACGAGGAGGCGCCAGAAAATGGGGTTTCTGCGGGGTGTCCTCCCATTCGCTTGAGGATTTCGTTCGGTGTCTGTTGTAGCTCCTCAATTTTCCGCGTTGATTTTTCATTCTGCTTTCTAGCCTTGGCCAACTCTTGTCTAAGCTCCTTATTCTCTTTCTTCATGTTCTCCATCCTCGTTGCCAGGCCGGGGTCCGCGGCTGCCCATGGGCGGCCGGAGAGAGGGTGCCCCTGTGCGGAGTCCGCCGTTGTTCCCGTGACTATGTCACGCCAGGTGATTTTGCGCGGCCCTTTCTGTTTCCCACCAGGTGTGGCCCCTCCTATGTCTTGTTGGGGGTGGTGTCGATTCTCGCTGCGGCTTCTGCACCGATTCCGACTTCTGCTCGTACTACTACTTTTGCTCCATCTTTTAACGGCGAGGGGGATCCGGATCTGGTTGAACGACCTATGACCTGTTGGGAGCGGGTTCTAGATCTCGAGCGACTAGGGCGGCCTCCTTCCACCGCACCAGCATTGCTATCCTATAGTGACGGGGTTCACTCTTGAAAGTCTCTGAACCTGGCCTTCCACCTTCTCTGCTTCACTATGTGCGGCACCTTGTATTTGGCCTTCCACATCCGGTCAACCGTGGGGTGCGCCTCACTACATATTCGGCACTGGTGCGTACACTCGTGTCCATTGATGGGGTTCTTTAATCCACAAATTGGGCACAGTTTGATATCTGGTCTGGGCCACACGTCAGGTCTGTGGCCAAGCCTGCCACATTCCTTGCAGAAGTCTATCTGCTTCTGGTACCGAGATACTCTTATCATAACGCTGTTGAAGTAAACCCAGGAAGGAACTTGGTTTCCTTCATAGAGCAGTATCACGTTTGTCGTACTATCGAGCCTCTTCGCATACGTTAGAGAGGGGTTTCTTGTGTTCACCAGTGCTTCCACGAGCTGATCTTGATTATATTTAGGAGGTAAATTGCATATGATTCCTTTTGTGATATTCTCAGGCGCCGAAACATATGCGTTCGTTTCTTACCTCTTTTCGTTGATAGTCAAAACCTTCATCTTGGCGATTTTCGTCGCTGTGCCTTCCTCCGTTGTGCTTATCATCAAAATGTTTTGGGTGGGGTTGGGGCAGATCGTGATCATCTCGTCGTCGCCCACTTCTGCTCCGTTGCGTATCACTTCATCAAGACTCGCACCGCACGTGCTCCTTATATTCAGCCCGTTCCTCGGTCGAACGATTACCTTGATATCGCCCCTGGGCAGTCTGGGCATCTTGCTTGCTCGTAGAACCTTGCTGACAATGCTTCGGCGGCCTAGGCGCATCGGGCTTGGTGAACGGGCGTCTTCTTGTCTCACCACCTTGTTTTGGCTCGCGCGTCCTCTTTTTTTTTCGTGTAACTTCAATCCAGCCATCTGCAACGCTGTCAGCGCCTTCGTCTTCACTCGTGGAAACGCTTCTTGTTTGTTCAGTTCTGTGGCCCGTGGCTTCCCCTGTCCCTGCCTCGTCTACATCCATCTCGGCTGTTCTTTCAGTCTTCGAGTTGGACACGGTATGCGCCAGGCCCAACCATTATTAGGCCTAGACGCTCACTCGTATAGTTCTTGCAGTTTACGAGCCTTAAAGCTCGTAAAGCTCACGCTCACCCAAAAAGCTGGTATCCGTGGGTTTTCGAAAGTGGCACACCATCTGTCCGATGGTGTGCCACTTTCAAGGGTAGAGTTCGAAAAACCTCCGGAAACATTCACAAATCGACGGAGCCGATGTGACATGCGTTTGCTCCCACTAGCGACCATAGCGCCTCCCCCGCAAGCTTCGTCTCTCCTTCATTACCGTGAGCATTGTCTTCTACACTCACTGTCATGGTCTTTATAGATGGAACACTACAGAGGAACAAAGGCGAGCGAAAAATTCTTCATGATCGAAAAAACTTGACTATGAGAAACTTAAGCAATAACTAGCAAAATATAGCACACCCATACACGCTTTAGTATATAATAACTAGAGAGTCGTATTTACAGTTTGCCACAGGTGCACTGCCTTGACGTAGCTGCGACTTCAGCGACAAGTTGTGTGGTTAGGCACATCGGTGAAGTTCGTAGCGTTGCTGGTGCGGGGCCGGCAGCTGAATCATTGATGATGCACAGGAATGACATTGAAGTTAGGACCCCTGTGCAGCTCGCCCCTCTGAAAGTGCAGCCTATAAAGCCTGTCTCCATACGTTGTGTGACTAACCTCCCTGTGATTTTCCCTGTCCTTCCTCCTTTCTTCCTCATCCTCCTCGTGAGAGTGACGTCACCGCTGGGTTCAAGCATCACTTCTGATCGCTCCCCTACAGTTAAAGGGGTGCTGGTGTGAAGGGGCATCATTGCAAGGGGGGCTGCTAGCAGTGTTGCCACTCCGAAATTGGAATGACTCCAAAATCACTCCACATTTTCACAACCATGAAATGGAATGGGAATAGAATGGGGACAATGCTTGGAGGAATGAAATGGAAATAGAATTAAGTCTTCTGAAAATAAAGCAGACGACGCTACCCCAAAGCGAACATCGGGCCAATGGCGAGGCGGGCTTGAGCGACACGGAGAAAGCAGCCAATCGGAGATCTTGAATTAAATTTTAAACATCTGCCTTTTGTGAGCTTTTATCTGAAAAGAGGAGCTAATTGCCCTTTACGAAATACTTTTACCTTGAGCTCAAAATGGTGGCACCCTGTGGTGCGGATAGGGAGCCCCAAATGTGCACCTTTCGGCATGCAGGTGCACACATGAAGTAGCTCCTAATAGCAGAGCTGTGATTTTCTGAAAAATGCTTTTTATACGTCTGCAATACATACTTTTGAATTGGATAGAAAAAGGGCCACAAAAACTAAAAATATGATATTAGAAAAGTACATTTTTTATTTCCCCATTGAGAATAAATCTGTTTACGACTGGTGATTCTCTCAGGCTACAACCAACCTATTAGATGTTTATATAAAAGTTTGTTGTAACAGCATTTGGATTTTACATACTTCTTCTACAACAGACCGAAATCCCCTTCATCATTGAGGTCTGTTGTAAGGAGATTATACCGTAAATATTAGTTAAAACAAGCATATTTCCATAGACTTTCACATGCACAGCTTTGTTCTTTGTTGGCTTTGTGCACTCTGTTGTACGTATATAAGAAGGTCTGTTCGGTGCAATAAACAGTTGGTAGTGAGCGCTGTAAGCTCTGTGTGTTACTCGGGTGGTTGTGTGAGTGATCGTGTGAGTGTTTGCGAAAGTCGAGGTTGCGCTAAATATCTTACAATATGACTTCAGTAGGCTTAGAGAAAGCTTGAGAAGCACTAACGATAACAATAAAACAATTACAAGAGGACTCAGTTTCATCTTCGTTGTTTGGGCTTTTCAAGTTTCTTCAAATGATATGACCAACTCATAAAAACAATTAAAACAACACACTGAAAATTATTAAAAGCAAATAAAAGCACGATGTTTCGGCTCCCGTATTTATTGCTCATGGACCTATTCACCCAAACCAAGGTATTGCGAAGTTGGCTCATGTAATTATGCCTGGTAATAATTTTTCATATAGGTAAGAGAATATTAGTTTTGTCTATTGCACATTATTGTTTTATACCGAGCTCTTTTGTTTGCTATGGTCCTCTCATTTCCATGGAATTTCTTGCATTCCAAAGCTTTCCGTAAATAGAAAAAAAAAAGACAGCACCTTGCTTCATGGCACACTGCAAACATTCTCACCATGTTTCTGTCCCAGGAGCAGCTCAGGTGCTAAATAATCCGGGGTGCCCAACAGACGGTGCTGGCCTCTGGACACCTTGGGGGTCCTGCGCTCTAGGCTGCTGGCTGCAGTGAATGCCTCAGCCACTGCGAAATGGAAGATCGCAAGGTGCCCTCTAAAAAAAATAAAAAGAGCCCATTGCCAAGGAAACGTCCCCTGGCTGCTGGCCATTGCACATTGGGAGTTCACCAAGGTCACAACTCAAAATAACCATGATTCTCACGCTCTCACAATTGAAAAGAATATACTAGATGAGGATTCATTTTTACCTTTAAAATGTCTAGATCTCAAGAGATGATTTTCGGCAACTTCTTGAGTTTACACATCATGCTTATGGTACTACTTATGGCCACATCTGAATGAAAATTTTCCCACACATTCCATTGCATGCGAAGGGTGCAACTACTTTCTTCGAAAAGGCCCTGCAACACTTTCCCAAGCAGCCATGGAATGGATTCAGTAAAGGAGCTTAATGCCTCACAAATTGACTGCCGCAAGAATTTTTAGAATTTGTCCAGTATGAGCAAAGTTTTGACACACCCTACAATTGCATTCTCTCGTACCGATGAAAGTGCTGGAAGCTGGAAAGAAAATACGTCACGTGTGCCTCGTGAGCTTGAGCACTTTTCCTTTTTTTTTTTTGAATACATGTTTTCTTTTTTTTTATTCGAAAAAAAAAAAAGCTGTTGGCTGGAACATTGTTCATCATAGGCTACACTACTAGTGCAAACATGTTGAACATGCAATCTCGGATGTCTGACAGCTGAGGTATGCGACATGGCGTGCTTTCGAATTTCCAAAAGTTAACATTAAAAGACCAGGGTTCCCAATGAAATGAACACACACACACGTCAAACAGAAAAAACCATCGTGGAATTTCACTGATTACGTTTTAGGCCACTAAGATTATGCACATTATCATGACAGATATTTTGTGTGCTGAACCATATCAATTTCTTGATTTATGATGACGTATAGAAAAAATGCGACACCGGTATTGGCTGAAGGCAATCACGTGATCTAAACGTACTTCCGGTCTTTTTGTTTGTTTTTGTTTCTTTTTATGCAAGACGGGGGTGTGCATAGATGTTAGCATAACGCTAGTTTTGCGATACGCCGTATAAATTATGCCGAAGTGTGTGGGCTTTTCGCCGACAGTGCCGCTGAAACGAGTTGTGTTTTTACGCAGTTGGTGTGCTCAGATTTTTTATTTATTACATGTTCGTTTGGGTTGCCAGCCAGCGAAGAAGACACGCCACTTGAACTACTCCGGATGTCAGCTGTTTTAAGGTAAGTGGGTTGTACCCAAGGAGGATACCTAAAACTTGCTGGAGTGGAAGGGGCGCTCTGCGAGTGAAGCCAGCCGCCGCCGTCTTGCCAGTGGCAAAAAGCGTGCTCAGCGCCATCGCGAGCTGCTGATTTCGCCCGTTCTTGTTTCATCTTGTCGGCAGGTAAAGACAAATGGTTTACAATGGCTGTCTCTTGCATCGTTTGCGGATGTGCCAACAGGTTGAAAAAACATTGTGGCTTCACATTCCACTTGTACGTACACGAAAACGTCTTCAACATAACCATTTCGCGCTCGTTACTAAAGGGAGCTATAGCTGACGCGATCGAAGCATGCAAAGCATAACAGTCCGGATTTGTTTTACAGGTTTCCTAAAGTTACCGTAACGCGGAGCCTCTGGGAGTGGGCCGTTCGCCGTGAGAGGTAGAATGCGAAAGACTGAGATCACTTCGCTCTGTGCACTTCACGCCAGAGTGCTTTGACCACCTCTTTGACATTGAAGGGAAGCATGTGAAATGGGATTATGAAGTGGCATTGAAGACACTTCAATGTGAAGAAGGGTTGTGGCTCGAGAACAAACTTACGAAAGTCCACGTCCAATGGTAAAAGCAAGAAAATGAAGGTATGATATGCTGTACAACTGATCGAGTGTCTCAGTTGCCGACGATTTGAACTTCTGTGAACAAAAGCGAAAGCTGCCACAATTCAAAGGTGCCAGCACAAAATCTACGTCTATTAGAACTTTTAATCGCTTGTTTGACATCTTAAACTCCAGAAACCCGCTGGCAAGGTCGTACAAAGCGCCCCTTAGGCAGGGGAGCAAAGCAATTTGGAAGTTGTTTTTTGCGGAGACTCGAGCGTACATAAACAGGCTGAGAGATCTGGCAGTGACAGAAGGACTGAAAAAAAAAAAAAAAAAACAGATTAATTGGTTTTTGGATACGCATGGCAAGCACGGAAAGAATGTTTGACAGACTTGTCAGGCAGGGTCAGCTTAAATACTTACTGACACACAAACTCAGTCAAGACTATACCGAAAACTTCTTTGAATCAATACGTGGATGAGACGGCCATAACAACAACTCAACAGCTTCGCAGTTTATGGCTGCATAAAAGCGTCTATTGGTTCAGACGGAAGTCACGTGTTCAAGTTCTGGACACTGCTCCCAAGATGTTCTTTCTGTATGGAATGCAACGACTCTTGCAGCCATGGTAGATCCAAGAAGCAATCTCACTGACATGCGCAAGGCCCCAGTCCTGCAGCTCGATGACCACGACAATACGAATTGCATTGACTAGCCCGAAAGCTTTTCTGCTTTTGTCGGTTCCGTGGTGCCATACATAGCAGGCTTCATTGTTCGAAAGGTCGAACTGCAACTACCTGTGAAGAGTGCATAGCAGCCATGCACTCAGATGAGCTGACACCTTTATTTAAATATAAGAGGCGAGGTGATTTTGTTTCACCGTCGCAAGATGTCATTATCCTCTGTAAAAAAGTCGAGGACTGAGGCGGCTACAGGCTGAATGTGATTCCATCACAACGGTGAAGTCAAGAGCAAAAAACCTCCTCCTGAAAGTTCTATGAGCTTCCCCTGAGAAAAACTGGTTCCATAAACTAGAGCAGCACGTCCTAGACTTTGATACGCTTGATAATCAGGTTTACAGTTTGTGCAGGCAAATCGCCGAACAATACGTAAAAGTGGGGATACAACACATGACGAAGAAAAAAAAAACCGAGAATCGGTCAAAAGTAAGGTGGGACCACTTTTGACAAGTTCAATAATTTTAAAACACCAGTAGGGCACCTATGTTTTCGATCATGTGTTTGCTTTAGGCATCGCTATTTGATGCATATGCACTTTGAGTTCTCTACATGCCACTTGGCTGCGTACAAGTCGCAATAAACATTTACAACCAGAATTACTTGTTTTCGTTGCTTTATAAACACACGAGTCACTTCACCCGCAGCGCGATGAAGCATAAATTTGCAGCGCTCGGCTCTTTTCTGCCACTGGCAACAAGCCTCCGCACGCTCGGCGTGGCTTCACTCTCTCCCGTAGCGGCGCATAGGAGGCTTCCACTCTAGCAAGTTTTATGTATCCTCCTTGGTTGTATTCATTCATTCATTCATTCATGATACCTTACAGGGCCCGATAGGGCATTGAGTAAGGGGAGCAACTACGAAACAAAAAATATCAGAGATAAATGCATTAATAAATACAGGGAAACAAAATTGAAAAAAAAGAAAAAAAAGGGTACAGTGTAGTTAAGGAACTTTTTTTTCCTTCCTCCTTTTCCCTTTTCCCTTTTTGTTTTCCTTTTTTTCCTCCTTTTTTTTTACACATGGCAAAAAACAGCAAAAAAAACAAATATATATACATATATATGTATATATATATATACACACATATACATATGTACAGTGCAAAGCATTTTCAAACAGAGGAACAGCATTTCTTATTCCATGAAACAATTTTACGCCAATCACACACACTCGCAAAGGAAAGAATGGAGGAAGAATTCGCGAAAAAAAAATAATAATGGTGGCGACGTGATACTATTTCAAGAAATGCTTACGCAATTGGTCAAGAAATGCTTGATGGTTACTGATAGATGCAATATTGTCGGGAAGATCATTCCATAGAACAATGGCTCGGGGAAGTGCTGATGAATTGAAAGTGTTAGTTCGTCCACTGATGCGTTTAATGCTATATTGATTATGCAAGCGGCGTGATATGCGTGAAGGCGCTTCCAGTGGTAAGGGAGATGGCCTGATGCTATAGCGATATTTATGGAATAAAGATAAAAGAGAAATGGAACGACGTACATTTAATGGCACAAGCGGTATGTCATGTTTGATCTGCGTTATGCTGGAATGTGGGCTGTAGTTGGAAGTAATGAAACGAGCGGCTCTGTTTTGTACACACTCAAGCTTGTTAGTCAGGTAGATTTGATGAGGAGACCACACTGGTGAAGCATATTCTAATTGCGGACGAACGATGGTTTCATAGATGAGTTGTCTTAGACTGCTTGGTGAGTTCCACAAGTTCCGGCGCAGGTATCCAAGTGACCTGGATGCCTTGGCAGTAATGGTGTTAATATGCATGTCCCATGAAAGATTGTGCTTGAGATGGACGCCTAAATATTTATACGATGATGCCTGGGCTACTAATGTGCTATCTATGAGGTATGAAAAATCGGAATTGATGCGCTTGCGGCTGAAAGTGATAACTTTGCATTTAGTAGAGTTAAGATTCATCTGCCATTTGTCACACCACTTTGCAATTAATATGAGATCATTTTGAAGTACGAGGTGATCTTCGGTGGATTTAATTGAGCGGTAAATGATGCAGTCGTCAGCGAAAAGACGCAGGTTAGAAGATATGCCTGTGGGTAAATCGTTAATGTATATTAGGAACAGTAAAGGACCAAGGACACTGCCCTGGGGCACACCTGATGTTACGTCACAGAGAGATGAGGTAAAACTGTTAGCTGAAGTAAACTGCTGACGGAAAGAAAGAAAGTTACGAAGCCATGATAATGTTAAAGAATCCAGACAGAGAGCTGATAATTTCGAGAATAAACGCGAGTGTGCCACACAGTCAAATGCTTTAGCAAAATCTAAAAACAATACAATCCGTTTGAAGATTAGCGTCCATGTTAGAGTGCAAGTCAGTTGTGAATTCTAGCAGCTGCGTGTCACATGACAGTCCTTTTCTGAAACCGTGTTGCTGAGGAAAAAAGAAGGAATTATGTTCAAGATGAGCGTAAATATGGGAGGCGATAATGTGTTCAAGT